ATATCCAGGCTCCTTTTTTGTTACCAGGAAATTCCAGGTTACATTAAGAGGTACTAAACTATTCTGTTAATTGCTACAGTAATTTAATTAGCTTCCTTGACAAGCATGCCAAGATGCGGGAGAGCTTCTGAAAGCTAATGTATGAGGTTGGATTAGTCACCGCAAGGCACTTTCCATCACCTGCTGCTGTGGTGTCACTGCATATGCTGCAGTCAGCAAAGACTACTAAGATCATGAGTATCACAAGAGAAATTTGGGGGTTTATGGTATCTAAAACATACTACTAGACAAATCTAAAACATAGATTCTGAGGTGTTTAAAATCATGACAGCATGCTTCAAAACTGGACACCACCGCAGCCCAGTTTCAGAGATGTGTTTGTCAGGGTAAATCTCACCATTGCCTTCACCTCCTTTCTGCCCCTCTCCCAGCACATACAAAGCATCCCACTGTAATACTCAAGAGGCTCTAACAGAAACTAGAAAGATGTAGATGTGGTGCAAAACTGAGTAATTTTAACCATCTCATCCCCCTAACTGAAGAGTAAAGCACAAGATGTGCATCAAAAGGAGGAGATGGATCCCCTGCAAATGTTGCATAAAGCTGTGTTTGCTGTCAGTCTTTGTATGAGGACAAAGCTTGGCTTTCTGCAATGGTATACTTCCACTTCAAAAATAGGCAAGTAAAGAATTTATACTGTTCTCCAAATATATAACAACATAAAACAATTTAAGTAGTTTATAAAAAATACTGAAAATAGAATAATGGAGTAAAAAACATGTTTCCTATCTTAACTGCAAGGCCGTTTTTACCTCAGCTCTTCATAGACATGTAATGTTACATCTCACCAACAAAAGGTTAAAGTTAATTGTTAACAGGATGTGTTCTTTTAAAATTATGCTGCTCTTGACCTTTACAGAAATCCTTTCTGCAGTGAAATACAAACTTGAGAAGGTGTTCTGCATATGTTTGGGTTTGTTTTTTTCTTTTAGATCATTTGTGTGAATATCCAGATAAATGGAATACAAGCAAGAAAGTATTCAATATATCCAGATAGATGTTCAGTACTGCAGATACATCATCTTCAGGATTCAGATGATAGTGATATTTTCATCTAAGCAGAAGCATCTTTTCCACAAGATACCGGAAAAGAGATGGGGAATTTTATCTTGGGGGTTTTACATAAGAATTGTTCACTACATAAGAATTATTTACCTTTACCTGAATAGTTTTAAGGAGTATTTGTAAGTTTATGAACCCAAGGAGTTTCCTGTGAGCAACAGTGAGAATAACTATGCAAATTATTCATCAGTTATATTTTGGCCCCTGTAACTTATGCTCTAATTACCAGATCAATTTTATTTACCATGACCTACTTGAAAATAGGTCTCACTGGGACACCAGCATTTTTACTCTGCAGAGGCCAGAGGCAGTCCCTACTTTTTTAGCATGGCAGCTCATATAGCCAACATCATCACCTTCAGGGATGCAAACAAACAGCAATGTCATGTTAATTAGCCAGCTGAGATTCACTAAAACAATTGTAAAGAATACTAGGATTTGTATATGTTATAGTCGAAAACTTCACATTCTGCAATTTAAGAACAAAAATAAAACAACAACAAAACTTCTTTTGAAAAAAAATACTTTAAATTTCTGGTCAGGCATCTGGACTTGGAGGCCCTCCTGACCATGATGTCTTCATTCGGCAGCAGACACTACTTCAAATAACAGTTCTGGGTTTTGAAGCACATATAGAGAATGTTACGGAGAACAGCAGTCCAAATTCTGCTTGGCTATAATTTAGCCATCCAATCCCATACCGTGTTGTTTTAGATAAATTCTGTCCTGGAAGGCAGTAAAGTAGTTTCTTTAATGATCTAAGTAAAGACCACATTTCCTCTATTTGCACAAAGTGAGCACAATATACATGGCACAGAAGCTTTAGGATGCAGGCCTTTATGATATCTATAATGTTTATTCATTATACAAAGAGATATGTAAGATATTTAGATGAAGTAACTTCCCCTTGAATAGAGCCAGACTTGATGGGCTTTTGCACTTTTTGCTACTATATAGCTCTTCTCTGACATTGTGTTAGATATTTAAATTAGATATACTATCAAAATACTGAAGACTATGATTCCAATAGGACATAACCTATTTGTAGCTACTGTTAAAAAAAACAAAGGACAAAGCATTTTTCATAACTGATTTTATTACTCTCTGTAGGCTTAAACTGGAAATCTTTACACTGAAACAATAGCAATTTGTTACAGAAAGAAAATGTGTCCTCTCATCATTTCCTATTGCACTGCTATTTTCATGCTTGTCAGCCCTTCTAAGTTTTGCAATGTGCTGCAAAGCTTCATGGAAAATGAGGTATACTCATAATTGCCTCGTACTCCCAATTACACTTGCTGTTGCAGGATGGCACAAAGAATGCCAAAGGCCAGAGTGGCTGAGGTCAGAACCGGGAACATTTCAGGTACTGCAGTGAAGTCCCACTGGAAATACTAAATGAAACTCTGGCTCAGTTTATTGCTTGCTACAGCAGGTCCTCTGGCTAATGTATGAAGAGAGAAAAAAAGTCTGAAAATTATACCGTGGGCCTGCCACTGTTAAGGAACTTGGAAAGGCTCCAACTACACAGCTCCTTGGAAACAGGGACTCCCCATGCAATACAGAGAACTACAGCCACGGAAGGACTTGAGCACCACTTTAAAGAACACAGCTGAGACTGCATCAGAAGCAGTGGGGCTTCATAAAAAACTGCTACAGTGACAATCCCATGTAACCTGTTATGTGCAGCTGACGGAAAAGGACAAACTTCTGGTTTTGAGCTATAGAACAGTAATAAACTGGCAACGGTAAATAACTGAACTTGGTTTGCACTTCATATGCAGTTTTCTACAACTGGCAGATCTCCTTTATATAGATTTACTAATTAATTAATTTTTACTGATTAATTAAAGTCTATATGATTAACAAGTTAATTTACATGCACAGTGGGAATGTGCATGTTGTGCCTTCCGGCATCTGTATTGGCTTACAGCTGTCATATTGGTTTATAATGGAGACATGAAAACATTCTGTAACAAAAATTGTGCATAAAGAAAATGAACTCCCAAAGTCACAGTTACCAGCAGTATCTGCTTTTGTCACTAGTGCAAAGAGAGAGATAATCCCAAAGTCAAAAGTGACGTGGTTACCCAAGGACCACGTCATTGCATCACCATTGGAAAGGCTAAAACTAAGCCTGAAATGTTTCTAGTGGCACACAGTTTAGCTGGAACCACCACTTCAAATCCTGATTGAGAATTTACCCCAAAACTGATCCAAGATCCTCAAGAACTGTTGCAAACGAAGCACAAACAGTAACCTCTGAAGATAACCTGTTAAGCAGAAAGCCTGTACTACAGGATCCCTGTTTGCAAGAAGATATAATGGTGAAAAACTGTTAGTTGTTACCAAAGTACATCCTGAGAGCCTGAACTGACAATATATGACAAGTGCGGAAGAGCTGACTTTTGTTTAAAAGTGCATTTTTGCCGCTCCTGTATCACAGAAACATGTTAGACTACAAATAAAGTAACTTGAGAGACAGCTTTAATGTTCTTTAAAAGAACAAAGTACTTGTAGTCATGGTACGTTTTTTCTGCCATTGCTTTACCTAGCCATGTCCCACAGGGCCAAAAACCAAACCTCACAAAATCGGGGGTTAACAGCCCAGGAACTATGAACAACTTGAAAGGAGGTGAAAGTAAAATAGAGTTACATTCAAAACGAGGAAATAAATTTGGCACCTGAGACAAGAAAGGCAAAGCTGGTGAAGGAGAGGGGTGCTGCCCATGAGTCAGTACCAACCCAGGCAAGCACCCCAGCCACTGCATGAGGGGAGCAGCTGTAAACAGATCACTGCAAATAACCTCTGTTAATTATGCAGTTGTTACCACAACATCAGTGAGTGAAATACCTTCTATTTTACGTAAGAGTTTGCTTTTAAGCAAGATCATTTTCCTTTATCTAAAATGTTATGAAGATGATTTGTTCCTTGTGTTCACTGAGAACAAGAAAAGGAAATCAACTCAACTTCCACCAAAGGTTTAAATGACTTCCAAGGATGAAGGCCGAGTAAGGAAATTAAAAGGCTGCAAATCCTCATGCATGAGTGGACATTTCTTCCACGACATCAGACTAAAGAAATACCTACCCGGCATGGCTTGGGACCATATAAGTGGCACCGGTATGAGGAACCACTGTTAGATCCATGGTTCCCGCATTTAGCTCGGATACGGGACCGAGGGCCCGTGTAAGAGGGAGTGTTTGCTTAATGAGGGCTGAAGCTCCTGTGTGAACCACTGTCGCTGTCCTCCTGAATCATGACAAATATTTTCATCCCTCTTCTGTCCTCTGATTTTCTGGCGACAGGAAGGGTGACAGCTGTGCACCTTTGTGCGGTGGGGTCTGACATCGCTCCGCAAACAGGAAAGGAGCAGGTACCAGCGGCAGCCTCTGTGCTTTGATATACCCATTGGCTGTCCCCCTTGCCTGCCGCTGGCTCTCACCGGGACTGCTCTCTTCGTCACGGCTTCTGCTGAGGCAAGAGACGTGCCCTGCTTGGGACAGGAACGCCTTCTCTTTGGGACTGAAGCCAGCGCTCGCTGCCTGCCACTTCTGGCAGACACAGCCTTCAGGCTGCCGAGACACGGACCCCATGGCGCTCCGCTCTGCCCCTGCAGCCTTCCCGGCAAGCCGAGACCCAGACCCCGACCCCCCCGGCAAGGGTGGGCCGCGCCGCAGGCAGCCTCTGCCAGGGCCCAAGAGCGGCGGGCCCGGCAGCCGGCGGTGCCCCGCGCGGCTCGGCACGGCGGGCGCAGACGCCGGGCAAGGCGAGGCCAAGCGAAGGAACTAGACTGAAGCCTCTGCCGGCGGCAGGAAGCGTCCCGCAGCCAGCAGAGGGCAGGGCCGCAAGCCAGCCCGCTCCTCCCGCCGCTCCGCAGCCACATCCGCCGCCTGCGGGAAGGGAAGGGGCCGGCGCCGGGGCCGGTGCTGGCGCCGCGTCCCTGCCGTCTCGCTACCAGGGGCCGCGGGCCCCGCCGCCGGCCGCAGGATGCCGCTGGGTCTGAAGCCCACCTGCAGCGTGTGCCGCAGCACGTCCTCCTCCATGTGGAAGAAGGGCGGCCAGGGCGAGATCCTGTGCAACAACTGCACGGCCCGCTCCGCGCCGCCCGGGCCCGTCGCCTTCGCCACCACTTCCTCCGCCGCGCAGCACAGCAACGGCGGCGGCGGCGCAGGGAAGCAGGTGAGAGCGTCCGGACCGAGTTCCCCTCTTGGTGCCTGGGTTCTAGCGGCGAGGGCAGGGGCGGCACGGCCGTACCCGCGCCCGGGGCAGCGCCCTCCCTTGTGCTTATTCGGCAATTTCCCCCCAAGAGCAAGCAGGAGATCCACCGGCGGTCCGCGCGGCTCAGGAACACCAAGTACAAGTCGGCGCCCGCCGCTGAGAAGAAGGTTTCCACGAAGGGCAAGGGACGGAGGCACATCTTCAAACTGAAGAACGTAAGGCGCTGCGGGGGTCGCTGCGGCCGGGTCGGGAGGCGGCGGGCACAGGGATGGCGCGGGCAGGTCCCGAGCCCTGTCCCGCCCCGCAGGGAAGCCTCCCGCTGCCTTGGAGCACAGAGGGAGCTCACCGAAATCACCCTGAATCCTGGGCGGGACGTGGTTATAACCGCGGCCGTGGGCGGTTTATTCCGGGGTAGCACGGGCGCGCTGGGCTGTGGTGCACCGGTCCGCACGGCACCCACTCCTTCGTGCTCGTTCCCTGAGGGAAGGAGTTTTGTGTAACTAGAAACAAGTTAGTTTAGTCCTCACTGCGCCGCTTGAAATCCCCGGAGTGGAAATGTTGGCTTTATTTTCGATTTTAAAGTGCAAGCGTTTGAAATGTTTGCACCTGATTCTTTGTCTTTACTACCAGAAGGTAATGTATCGGCATGTGGGCTAAAAGGGAAAAACATCAGCCTGGAGTTACATGTCTGGCTTGCGTTAGTGCTCATGATTTTCCATTTCTACATTCTTTTTTCAGCCCATCAAGGCTCCTGAATCTGTATCCACTATAATTACAGCAGAATCAATCTTCTATAAGGTATGGTTTCTGAAATTTGTTTGCAAAAGACCTTGCTGTTCCTATTTCCAATTTCAGGAATTACCGCTGATAATGAAAGCACTGGGGGTGCTTTCCTGTGCTTCCTTGCCTACCAGTTGTGGAGGATTTTGCTCTGCCTTATATTATTAGGTTGTCTTGCAGGGTAGTTTACTACAGTAGTTTACACAGTTGTCATTCATTGTCCCATTTTCTTTCAGGAAAGAGATGGATCTGGTTTCCTTAGTGATGATTGCAGTGAGGGTTTTTAAACCTCTGACTTCTGCTTTTGTGCAGAGGTCAAGCAGAAGTGACTGTAGCTGGTTATTTAAATTTGTATGATGTTTCCTACCGTAATTGCAGAGAATGTTGCCTGTAGAGGGGATGGGTTGTGCTGCGCTAACGTCTAAACTGGCTCCTGTTCCAGAGCTGAGTGCAAGCAGCCTCCAACACCCTCGCAATAAGGTCTGTTGACTATTGCAGTGAAAGCAGAAGCAGGGCTTCACGCGTTCATGCCTGAGAGCATTTTCACCAGCACGACAAGGTGTTAGTGTTTCAAAGTTCTGAAATGTGCCTTTGTTTCCTGGTAGTACAAACCAACCGTGTGAAATGCCTTTTCCTCCACAGGAGAGGTCAGGATAGCCAATAGGAGACTGCACAGCAAGAAGAGAAGTGGTACACTGGGCTGTATATGCTCTGTATACCTGATGCTTCGTGTGTGGCATCCCAGATGAATCTCTGCTGTTGACTAGTTCAAAAAAGAGTTAACGCTTTTTCTTTATATTTGGGGGGAGAAGAGGGCTGTTTATCAGAAATTCCAAAAAATTACATCAGAAGTTTTATTTAACCCAGTCTGTTTATGCAAAACGTTTCTATTGTGGTACTTTGCTGTGTTATCAAGGAGGTTGTTTGGGGGTTTTGTATTCATGCTATCTTAAAATCCTCCTGGCTAATTCTTGGCAAACTCTTGATCTGTGCAGTCACTGCAGTGTGCTGTGCAAAGCTGTTATAACATGAAGTGAGTTGCCTTTGCTGCACAGCCTCACACATCGCAGAGCACCACAGAAGGAGGTGGATGTGTGTTTTGGGATTCCTTTACATTAAAGTGAGTGAACTTCACACACAGGGAAATTACCTGTTACTTGTTCTGGAAGGTGGTGTTGCATCCTCCTGCTTACAGAATGAAACTGTCTACTCCCAGGCATGGGGTGACTACACACAGTGTGGATGCCTGCTTAGGTGAGACAGTACTCAGCCACTGTTCTTTTGCATGTGGCCGAATCAAGGCTATCTTTCAAGATTGGGGTAATTTGAGATAATTTAAGATACTGGTACTTAAGAGATGAATCGTGATTGCAAAGTGAAGCTTCTAAAATCAGATTGTTTGATTTAATTATTGCTTGTGTGTCTTCTAGGGTGTATACTACCAAATTGGAGATGTTGTTTCAGTGGTTGATGAGCAGGATGGAAAAACATACTATGCTCAGATCCGTGGGTTTATTCAGGACCAATACTGTGAAAAGAGTGCTGCGCTCACCTGGCTCATTCCTACACAAGCCAGCCCCAAAGAGTGTTTTGACCCAGCATCCTATATCATAGGTAATCTCTAAGCCTTCATTTTATACAGCTACTTATATGTGCCTTGACTAATGCAGAGTTGGTTTACTTTAAATGAACGTTTTAGATTGTCGAGATTCGCATTTTAGACCCTGATCCTGTAAGCATCTCATTTACTTCAATGACCATTTTTATCTTTCATATGTATATAAAACGATGAGCGCTGCTGCAGTGAGTGTGATTACCTGAGTGTTTGTGCTCATGAGCACAGTTACAGTCTTGCAACTTTAAAGATCAAATGACTCCATAGACAGAATCAAAGTTATCACAGTATAAACCTGATGTACCAGTCTAAGCTGTTTCTTTAAAAATGACCTGAATCAGCTGATCTCCATCGTGGCTGCTTAAAATACGTAACAGTGCAAACACTGCCATAGAGAGTGTTCTGCTGTTGATTATAAAATGAATAATAATTCAGAAAAGTCCTTTTGACAGGCAGGCCACAAATAGTGTCTGTTTAAAAAATATTAACTAAAGTACTTCACTCAAATAACTGACTGCTTCAAATGCAGGGGGAGAAAAACCCAAAAAGAGCAGACCAGCAAAAATAAAGGTAGAGGTTTCTTCTTGCCTAGTATTTGAGGCTACTTTCCCAGAGAAGTCATTGGTTGAAAAGGCACATTTCTCCAAGGGATGTTGGCTGCTGTTGAGTATTTTTAAGTAAGTCCTGCATTTTCCATTTTATGCCTTAAAATTTTGTCTTTGAAGATTATTTCTTTTTCCGTAGGACCAGAAGAAGACCTCCCAAGGAAAATGGAATATTTAGAATTTGTTTGTCATGCACCTTCAGAATATTTCAAATCTCGATCGTCTCCCTTCCCCACTGTTCCCACAAGACCAGAGAAGGGCTATATATGGACTCATGTGGGACCTACTCCTGCAATCTCCATTAAAGAAACTGTTGCCAATAATTTATAATTTTTTAAGGAATACTTTGGACACGAGTTACTTTGGGTGTATTCGCAGGTCTGTGAACCCCATACAGGAAGTTTAAAATAATTATAAAATGTTCATTTTACTTTATGGATTATGGTATTTATTTTAAATTATATCAGATTTTTAAAGTAGAAGTTTTCATTTCATGAGTCATTTGTGTGCTCTGTTCTTCAGAAATGATTGCTCATTTGGGGGCAAAACCACAAGTATCATGTTAACTATGGTGAGCAAAATTCTGAAAGCTGCCTTTAGTGTTTTTATTTTCTGACTTATCTTCCAGAAAAGGGAGTTAAAGACAAACTCTTAATTATCCAGCACTTTATATACTTACTTTAGTTAACTGTGACTGCAGTTCTTGTTTACCTCTTGAATTATTTAAGACTAGCTTCAGATAAACACTGAGCTTGGTCAGGGATACAGTTAACAGTTGTCTGTTACACTGGACAGGAGCGATCCTTGTAGACTTCTCAGACTAAAATCTATCATCCTCAAGGCAGTGCTCTGTTAAACAGTCACCTTTTAAGGGGATTCTGTTGCACCGATATCTATAGCTACCTGCTGAACTTTGCTTATCTAAGGGGATACATTTATTGGAAAGCTGGTTGCAGATTTAAAGATTAATGATATTCGGCTTTGCCATCCTGGCATCCCTGTGGCATAAATATATCTTGTTTCCTGAGCAAGCCAGCACTGACCCATAACTGGAGTTTCTCATTCTTACTGTGTGTGTATTAGCTTGGTCTCTTAAAATTCATTTTGAATTGTGGGGTTTTTTTCAGTCTTTGCAATTAATAATGACAAGAAACATAGCCCCAAGTAACTCAAATGAAAAAAAAAGGATGCTGGGACTCTTCATTAGGGACTGTAGTGATAGGACAAGGGGTAATGGGTTCAAACTTAAACAGAGGAAGTTTAGATTGGATATAAGGAAGAAATTCTTTACAGCGAGGGTGGTGAGGCACTGGAATGGGTTGCCCAGGGAAGTTCTGAATGCCCCATCCCTGGCGGTGTTCAAGGCCAGGTTGGACAGAGCTTTGGGTGAGATGGTTTAGTGTGAGGTGTCCCTGCCCATGGCCGGGGGGTTGGGACAAGATGATCTTAAGGTCCTTTCCAACCCTAAATATTCTATGATTCCATGATTCACAGTAGTCAGAGTGACTCCCTCTACTCAATGTGTTCCTTCCCTTCTCTGCAGTTCGCAAGGTTTTCTCTCGGGATCACTGTAAAGTCCCTGTGCTGGTTATGCTTTGGCATGATCCATGGAGCTGTACTCTTCTGTTGGCTGACTTCTTTAAAGTTCAGCGGCTTTCCTTGTCAAATCCTTGTAGGAAGAGGGAAGAAAATGATGCTCACATTCACTCCTGGTTTTTTGGGTTTCTACAGTTTACACCAAATGAAAAGTACTTGCTTGCCATTTGCTTTTTGTTTGTCAATGAATTGTAATATCACAAGGACAGTTTAGAGAGATACCGGTGTATGGATTGTGATCTGAAGTTTGTTTCACAGAACGACCTGCTGATGCATAGGTCTCAGCACCCTTCTGCATCACACAGCAGGTCATACTGACTGCAGGATTGCCTTAGTAATTTGAAAGCTTGAGCAAGAGAAAAGAGTTTGGAGCAAGATAATGTCTTATTCTCATGAAAAATAGTATGTTTTATAAGTATTCTACTTACAGTAGCAAAGAGCAGAGCTCAGGTACAGGATAGAAAACCTGGAACTTCTGTAGGAAGAAGCAAAGAACTGTGAGCACTGCCACCATGAAATGAAAGCAGAAATGTCATCCTTCACTACATTTGTATCACCAGCAGCACTAACTTTAAGGAGGGTGTATTCTCATCTGATTTCAAAGGGGAAAAAAAAAAAGGCATGAAGAACCACACTGTAAAAGCAAAACTATCAAATAATGTAGTAGGTAATGTAAAACAAAGGTGAATCTGCTTCAGTTCTGTCGCTTACCTAAGAAAGGAGGTCTGCACTCAAACATTTGTTTCATTTGCTGCAGGGTGATTGATACACACCAACTGGTACTCCCCCTGACAGAGTGATTACAGGTACTGCATGGTATGGGGTAACTCACATTGGTATATCTAAGGAAGCGCACATGGAGTTGCTTGAAGTGTTTGACATAGTCATGTGTGTCAGGGTTTTCTGGGGGACACCAAGCACAGTGAGACTGTCTTCAGCTGTAGTTGGCCAACTCATTCTGAACCCCCCAAGATTGTTAGGGATGGTGATTAACAAACTAACATCAGTGACATGCATAAAGATAAATCCTGAAATTGCTGCAGCTGAATTAGGTCCCTTTTGCTTCCTTTTCAGGTCTGTCAAACAAGTATTCCATTATGTATAGAGATAGTCATGGATACTGCTGCAAGGACTCTCAAGATAATGAAGGCATGCAACAAGGGAACCAGATGTCTTCTTTCAAATTGATGTAGGCCATGTAGGCCTTCCTCTTGTCAATGAGGCTTGAGAAATATGTAAATAGCTGCAAGAGAAAAGATCTAAAGGAGCCTCTCAGGGTTTAATACCTGTTTAATTTGGTATGAGAACATCTGAAATACAAGGAGAGGGTAAGAGCCAGGACTGTTCAGCCTGGAATAGAGAAGGCTAGGGCGGAAAGTACTCACTTAGCATTCAGATACAGACAGGTGTTTGAGATGTAAAGTCTTGTTTGAGATCAGAGAGATCTCATGAACAGATGAAAACATTTTGCTATCAGCAAAAGTTTAGGAAAATTTTACTGTCACCTGATTCAGTACTTCAGTATTCTCATTAAAATACACAGTCCTTAACAGAAACATACACAACCATTATACCAGTGTTTCAAAATTTCATAATTCAACAACTGTGCAAGTATATATCAAGACTCACTGATTCTACTGACACATAGCACAGTTGAAATGGAGTAAAACCAAGTGCTGTGCTTCACGGGTGAATTTTGCCATATCCAGGAAGGCCCTTTTCCTTAAAATTCAGTTTTGCGAAGTTGACTTGCAAGATTATTAATGCCAGATCACAGCATTAATAATCACTGTTAATAATTAATTAGCACAATAATTGAGTGTTATGCAAGGTTACAGGCAAAAATACTGAAGTCATACACACCTGTAGTAAACATAAACCTGCTAAATTACGTGAAGTCATTAAATGCATATGTGAATTTAATAGCAAGCATATTTTTTAACTGGGAGACATCTTCTCCTGGTGTGGTTGAAGGTTTGGCTAAAAAAATCTCTTTTTCTGGACTGCATAAAGCATCTGTAGTAGCAGGTAACCTGTTTGTGACTGGTTCAGCAGCATAACTACATTTGCTCAAGTCTCTGAATCCCTGTAGAAGGAAATACACAGGGAACTACTGACTGGATGTATGGAAAAAAAATTCACCATGAGAGCGATGAAACACTGAAATGGGTTCCTCAGGGAGGCTGGGTAATCTCCAGCTTTAAAGTGTCAAAACCTGACTGAACAAGGGCACACACAACCTGATCTCTGACTTAGAAACTGGCCCTTCCTTGAGCAAGAAGCTGTACTAGATGACCCTTTCAGTCCGCATTTTTCTATATGCTTCACAAACACCCACTTCGGCAGCACTCATTCAAGGCTAAGTATTTCACAGCAGAAGAGATGGATACATTTTTCATATCTAACACGAGCCACATAAAAAATGAGAGATGGTGGAGAATTCCCACAGGTTATAAAGCATAATTTGAAAGAGTAAAAATTCTTTCACATAAAATCTGGTGCCTTACTTCTGATAGAGCAAAATTACAGTTTAACATTAAACTCTGAAGGCTTTAGAGATTTAACATAATCCAACATAAGTGCTTTGTAACCTATGCTCTGGGCCAGTCTCATATTTCTCAGTTCATACCAACTCAAAAAAATGTCCCTCACAAGCTGAGAGAACAATTAGGTTTGAACTTCCTTAATGTTTCTTAAAAGGTGTGCCATAATAGAAGTAAAACCCACTTACACAATTAAACCTTACCTACAGAATTGGAGAAGAGCAGTCTAAACTACCCAGAGGTTCATAACAATAAAAAGCTTTTCCAGGACTAATCAGGAGCTTCTTGTCAAGGAGCTTCTGCCATAATTCAAGTTTGTCTTCAAATGTCTGTAATTTTAAGAACTAAAGAAAATATTTTACTAACGGTTGAGTAAGTCCATAAATTCACTGAACGGATTTGCCAAGACTCAGTAAGTGTGTAACTGGCCTGGTTTTGGTTTAAACTATGACAGTAACAACAGGCACGAGTAATTTTTACACTTGCAAGTTTTACATTCTCACCCCTTTTCAAACTTGTTACATCCTTTCTTGAGGTCTGCCCACACACAGAGTCCTCCTGAACTTTTAAGCACAGCTGCAAGCCCATCCACAGGAATTTTCTGTGCTTCTTTCAGCAACATCTTGTTGGTGGGAAGAACCTCATTATCCAACCAATCATCTGTCAAAGCAAGAAAAACTGAATTTTTCTTTTTCTACCTGCAATGGAAAAATAAAACAGTTCAATGGAAACATTTTTAATGATGTGGCTAACCTCTGTCCTTAAGGAATTGACTGAGAACACACTGAGCAGGTCCAGGACAGCTATGGAAGACAGCCAGTTGAGTCACAGCTTTATTTGCAAAAAAAAAATTCTGACTGTCCATTGATATGAGCTATATGCAGCAAATATATTTTTATTGTACACAGTCAACAGTGCAATGACTACAGCAGGAACTTTCAAAACTTCAAACGCACCGACATGAGGAGCTGCCTTATTGCTTCATGCTTGGGATAAACCTGAAAATACATTATTACTTGGTGTTTCTGCATTTTTAGAAAACCTGACCCACCGCAAATTCTCACTCCACCCGAGCCTCCTGCAAAGGACGTTATTTGCAAGGATCAGTTCCCAGGGAAGTCCAGGACATAAAGTTCAGTGATGAAGAAGTGCTGGTGTTTGCTTTCCCTGCCATGTGCAGTTTGTTAGAGCATTAATGGCTTCTGTAAGCAAGAACTTTTTGCAAGAAATGGACTGTCAGCGTATTGCCTTTGATTTCAGCTACAGGAATAAATTGGAAACGATGCAACTA